GCTCGTTCTTCATATCCCTGTTGTCCACCACCCCTCCTTACGTGGAACGATCATCGGGATCAACTAAGCCGGAACACAGAGCCGCAACCGCGCTCGCCGTGCTTGCAGCGAACGTATGCAGTGGTCCCGGTATATTGGCGGTACGGTTTAGGTGCCAGCCCCTTGAACCGGCCAAATAGCGGGCAACCGGCAAAATATTCAGAGGATAAAAACAACTTGATTATTCCATCTGTGTCACGCGATTTTCACCGGCAATATACTGGGCAACCGGCACTATTCGACCGGCATTTTAGCTGGACAACTACCGCTGCAGTGACATATTTCATCGCTTACGTCGTCGCAAAGAAGAAGTCACACCCGTGCGTGAATGGAAAGATGCAGATCGTTTTGGTGCTCAGACCAAAGCTCCACCGTCTCGCGCATGTCCTCGGGCGCCATGTCGGACCGGAGCTCCCGGTAGGAGGGCTCGGCGTTGAGGCAGAAGACAAACATCCGCAGCCGCGGCGGCATCTTTCCGGCGAAGAAGGCGTCAGCGAACAGGCCCACTCCGATCTGCTCCGGCACAAGTCGATATTTAAACACGTCCGTGCGGTGGACATGCAAGAATAATCGTACGAAATCGAAGGCAGAGGGAGATAAAGAGATAAAATGGATGTAGAGATTTAGAGGTTTAGAGATTTAGAGAGAGAGAGATTTAGAGAGAGAGAGATTTAGAGATTTAGAGATTTAGAGATTTAGAGATTTAGAGATTTAGAGAGAGAGAGAGAGAGAGAGATGTGCACGACGTGAAGACACGTACAGCGGGCATGGTAGATTGTGTGCAACAAGGAAGAAGAACCAGGGAGAAAGGCGTGAATTTCTCACTCACTAGCACATACCAAACACGACAACAATCACAACCACCAATGGCCAAGGGGAGGATTTGGGAGGGGACAAAGACGAGCGCCCGGGCCAAAATATAGACAGATTTTCAGCGTGTCGTGTGACCAGCGCCAGCACCATCGCCACCCAACACCCCCTTCCCCCCTCACCTTGACACTCAACAAACACACCGTTACCCCCCCGTCCCCCCTGCTCACCTTGCTGAACAAGTTCCCGTTCACGTTCAACTCACGCAACTTGCGGCAGCTGCCGCTCTCGTTGAGCAGCGCCGCGACCAGCTGCCCGACCGAGGCGTCCCCCAGGTAGCAGCCCTCCAAGCGGAGGCTCCGGAGAGACGGACAGGCGACCCCCTCCCCGAGAATCTTCAGCAGGCCCGCGAACGGGCCGCTACCGCCCTTCGCCGAGCTCTCGGACCCCGTGCGGGCCGCCCGCTCAGGGCGGTTCCACCAGCAGCTGTACGACAGGTCCAGCGACTCGATCGTGAGATGGGCCGGGGCGGCGCTGGCCGCCTCCGCTGCGGCGGCGGTCGGTCGTGGGCAGTTGGTAGCGGAGGGGGGCGGCGGCGGTGGCGGCGACGAAGAAGGAACCGACCACGCGGGCGCCCTCTCCGGCAGCGGCTTCTCAGCGGTAGGAGCACCGGCACCGGTAGTAGTTGCACCGGCAGAGGCGGAGCGGCCCAGGAGACACCCAGTCGTCGGGAAAAAACCGGGCTTAGTCGGAGTTGCGGCCGTAGCACTACCGCCGTCCGTCGCGGTTGCTGGCGCCCGGAGAGCCTCGGCGAGCGCCGAAACGCCGACGGAGGACAGGGCGTAGTTGCTCCGGAAGCTCAGGGTCTTGAGCGTGCGGCTCATGCCCGGCAGCATCGCCGCCAGAGCGCACAGCTGCTTGTCGCCGAGGCGGCAGCTGTCGATCGACAGCGACGCGAGGCGCGGAAAGCGCTCCGCGGAGAGCACCTCCCCCAGGGTGGCCACGCCCTCCACGCCCTCGACCGTGAAGTGCTTCAGCGACAGCGTCCTCAGCCGCCGAGGCCTGATCGGTGCTGCTGGCGAGGCGGCGGACTCGTGCAAGGCACGCGCGAAGGCAACGAGGGTCGTCTGCGGAGCACGGTAGGAGTGGCCCGCCAGTACTAGCACCTCAAGCGCTGGCAAGCTGCGGAGCACGCACGGAGGGGGGGGGGGGG